TCATCAGTAACGAGCCATGAATAATATTGTTGTAAGTCTCAGCGATGAGGTCCCGATAAAATTACATTCCTGCGGGTGTCTCTTTTCCTGATGTGCTGACCTTCATAAGCTAGAGGAGCTTAGTGGATTCCTTGTTCCTCTAACCATTCGAGAATTTCCTTGGCACCCAATATAGAACTGTTGAAAAGCAATTTCACTATTGGTTATGAGCCCAGAGTTTTATTAAGGTGAGATTTGAAATCTTTCTCCTAAGAGGGGCTCAGAAAACCCTGGGTAGCTCAGTTTGAACTTCTTTAACTCTTTCTTTCAGGAGACGGTGCTGCTAAGCACTGGAGAGAGAAAGCTGAATTTCTACCCTGAGACTGCCACTTAACCAGCTGTCTGACCCTTGAACGCTCTGTTAGCTATTTGATTCTCCACGATGTTTTTCCGCCTGTGTAAGATAGGGTGATAATTGTATCTTCCCCATGGAGTTGTGAGGTCTTGTAGGTGATTACTCATGGTGGGGAAGACAAACTTCAGGGCCCAGAAGGTGTTAGGTTTTGTTCTTATTGGTCATCAGGATCATCTGACACCTAGAGGGCTCCCACCCCTGTCCTATGCGCTGTAGCACAAGGGTCCCCAATCTCTGGGGTCTAATGCCTGATGATCTGAGGCTGAGATGATGCAGTAATAATAGAGATAAAGTGCACAATAAATGTAGTGCGCTTGAATCGTCCCCAAACCAACTCCCACCCCCAGGTTCTTGGAAAAATCATCTTCCATGAAACTGGTCCCTGGTGCCCAAAGGGTTGGGTACCGCTGCTTGAGCAGATTGCTCACTTTGCTCTTCTTGTGATTTTTCACTCCTCAGGAATCAGTGGCACTGTCTCTATGGTCCCCTGGGGGCAAAGTTTGGTGATTCAGGGAAATCAGTTCCCATCTGTCTCTATAGATGGGTAAAGAGAGAGAGATTGATCAAGGCTGGTGCGTAAAGCCCGTCCAGAGAGCATCTCAGGTGTGTGGGACCTCCCTGCTTCTCTCTTGGACTTGCGACTTACAAGTTGGGAAGTTTCTGAAGTGTCCTTAGTCATGTTCAGATAGAGAGCAGCGGTCATCCCTGACCCAAGCACAAAGCCACACACTCTCAGGGTGATGCTTGGCCTTAAACATCGTAGACTCATATTAACTGGATACCAGATGTAGCCCAAAAAACTTACTTTTCTCTCCTTGTCACTGGTATTCAGGATACACTTAAAAATTGAATTAGAGGTACTTATCTCCTTTTGGTCTGAAAACATGTATATTAAGTGAAATATAGTAAAAGCAGCCCCCCTTAAAGGCGTGCAGCTCTATGAATTTTGACAGATGTCCTCAGTGGTGTGACCACCCCTATATTTAAGACATAGGTCACTTTCCTCACTCCCAAATGTTTTCTGTCCTTCCTGCAAGCCCCTCGCAGCTGTGGCTGCTCTGTCTTTATCACTTCAGCTGGATTTTTTAAATCCCACTTGCCAGGAGTCCTGAAATTCTCTAGAAGACATCCATTGTTCCATCCGGTACTCACAAATGGCCCCGAACTCCCGCAGGCCTCTGGCTCCCGCCTGGGAGCCTTGCTCTGGTCATTCATCTCTTTACTCAGCAGAGTCATCCAGCCGCTCTGCGGTCCAAGCCACAAACGTGTGCTGTGACTCAAGACACAAAGTCCTTGTGCAGGTTCTCAGCTCTCTCGGGAGCCATGGCGTGGTTGGGAGATGACATGCACGAATACAGAGTTTAATAAAGAGACAGAGAATTAGCGGGCCACGCGAGGCCGAAAGTCAGGACACGTCCCGAGACCGTGTCACGTTGTCGTTTTGGCTGATCCTTGGGGACAGCCAGTGAGGGGCCCACAGGAAGGAGAGGGCAGCTCTGTTCTTGGGGGAGGGCAGGAAAGGCCCCCTAAAAGCAGAGGCATCTGACTCCTGCCTACCGTTCACCCTCCCCTTCTCCCCTCCCGCTCACTGAAGCCTTTGATTTCCTGGAACTGGAAAAAAATATTCCACTTCCTGAACTTTCATCACGGGCCCTCCGCTTTCTGTTCATTTTCATGACTGTCCTCGGCTTATTCTCTGGATCATTGCGTGCTGGCCTCCAGCCCCGCTGGACTCCTCATAAACCAGATCCTGGACTAGATTGTGCTTCCTCATCTCCTCCTAGGACCAGACAGCTAGGCCTTGTACAAAGAAGATGCTCCAGAAATCTCTTGTCAGTTCAATGACTGAGTTGGGCCTTCTGGGGAAAAACCTTGAGGGAGAGAATTCCTGGCCAGAACAAAGGGATGTCGTTAGGAAGATGCTTGAACGGCATCTCCATTGTTTATACTCCCAGGAATGACAGTGCAAGGGAGAAAGGAATTTTGGAGTATTGGAAGTTAAAGTGGACTTGATTTAAATCAAATTTATAAAAGATCTTAGCATGTAAGATCTCACACATACACACACACACATGCACGCAGAGACACAACTTCTTTGGTTTTTATATCCACCCCCTGGTTTGTGAAAGGAAAGACCCCATCTCGTTTTCCTGCAGTCTTATTTTCCTTGGGAGAAGAGGCAGAAGAAACTTGAGAGGTCGGTGTCAGCGCTCAGTCTATGTTTGCCGAGCAGCATGATGGATGCTCTCAGGCCCGAGTAAGGATAAAATAAGAATTTGGGAGTCTGCCTGCCATATTTAGCCTGCCCTCCTCTTCTTTAATTTTATGCCCCCCACCCCCTACCCCAGGGAAACCGTGGTGGCATCCAATTTCCATTCCATTCTGTCTGCTGTGACTTTGTGGAGGCTGTTATCACATCCCCAAATCTCCTTTCCCAGCTTCTTCGGCGCCTTTCTTTTCTTTGTAGAAAATCCACGGATTCTCACTCCCTTCTAAAACCTCCCCTGAATAGAAATTGGGTTATGTTCTCCCTACCTTGTGCTGGTCATTTCATCACCCCTCATTGCCCAGGCAGTTCAAACAGAAACCAGTGTATAAACAGAAATACTTAAGTAATCAAAATACTTGGAGCCATGAAAACAAGAGCTGGCCCATCATGCTAATAACTTCTCCAGGAGACTGGTGTGTGGCTGCCTTCCCGCCTAACCTGAACCTTTTCCAGGTGGCCAGGGACGCAGAGCACTGCCTGGAATCCGAGCCGAGTGACTTCGGACAGCCACTGCGCTTCTCTGTGCCCGAGTGTCTTCATTTATAACTGGATAGTGATGCTTTTCCCCTGACATTCTCATGTGTTGAAATGTTAAAGTAACACGCACGAGCAAAACATGATTATGGGTACGGAGTGCTTTGAGAGAGGCCCTTGGGAAAACGTCGGTCCCATTTGCTTATGGGTGCCAGTTTCCAGGGATATTCCATCCAATCAGTTGCCAACAGAAGTATATGGTCTGCTCTGTTTGAAAGTGGGACAGGGCATTAGGGGCATTCAGATTAAAACCACAATGAGGTATCACCAACGTGTATCTGAATGAGTAAAGTCAAAAAGTAGTGATGACACCAAAATCTGGTGAAAATGTGCATAAGTGAGCTCATTCATACATTGCTGGTGGGAATGTAAAGTGGTATAGCCGTTCTGTATGCTACTTTGGCAGTTTTTTTGTAAAACTAAACATCTAATTACCACGTGATCCAGCAATTGCACTCCTGTGTCTTTGTCCCAGAGATGGATACTTATGTTCAGGTAAAAACTGTGCATGAATGGTCATAGCAGCCTTATTTATAATAGTCAAAGAATGGAACATACTACAAGTTCTTCAGAGGGTGAATAAAAACAGACCATGGTACATCCATGTCATGGAATGTTACTCAACAGTGTGAAGTAACCAACGATGGATAAACACAACTTGGATGAATCTCCAGGGAATTATGCTGAGTGAAAACAGCTCATCTCAAAAGGTTACCGTGTGGGTTCATCGGTGAGGCATGCTTGAAATGACAAAAATTGTAGAAATAGGAAACACATGAGCGGATGTCAGGGGTTAGAGACAAGGGGAGGAGACTGAAGGATGGTGGATACGGTTATAGAAGATGCTTGTAATGATGAGACGGTTAGTGTTTTGACTGTGGTGGTGGCTATGTGGAACCACGTGTATAATGAAATTGCCAGAATTAAGTACACATACACACACACACAGGAGTACAAGTGAAACACGGAAATCTGAACAAGACGCATAGATTATCAGTGTCAATATCCTGATACTGTACGATGGTTTTATAAAGTGTTACCATTGGACGACGCATGGCAAAGGGCGTGCAGGATCTCTGTATTATCTCTTACACCTGCATGTGAATCTCCAGTGATCTCAGACTGAAAAGTTTGATTTAAAAAAAGATTGAGGCAGGATTCAGAGCCCAGGTGGTCAAAATTCATCTTGTCAGTGTTTTGAGGAGCTGATGCTGCAAAGGTGTGTTAGAACTGGGAAGGCAGTCTTTTCAATCGCTCTGATATGACAGCCTCTGCCTGCCGAGGAGGAAGAGGGTGGAGAGTATGAACAGAGCATCCCACAGCTAGACCTGACACAATAGGGTGGATTTTGGTGGTCCTTCCTCTCTATTAAGGTTTGATGAGCTCCCTGGATCCCAGGACCCAGAAACTAGCACAGCTGCATCCCTTAGAGGAGGAGCAGAGAAGAGAAACGGGTCAGGTTGGAAGCACTGTTTCCCTCTCACGCCCTGGGGCTTGGTCTGGATGCGGTCCCTGCTCCTGCAGCCTTGGCCATGAGCGGGTTGAGTTTGGGATGCTGCCACACGTGAGCACCGTTGGCAGGCACACTGGAAATAGCCCTGGGCAGCCAGGTTATTGGCAAGGCTCTTCTCCCCCGACGTTAACCCAAAACAAAGGCTTGTTCTTATTTCATGGCAGGTGACGTTTGATAACTGGGACTCCGACTCTTGGGCTCTCTCGGGGGAGCTTTTCTCTCTTGAGAGTGCATGCCAGGATGGTATAGGCTGGTGATGGTGGCACATGATGGCCATCTTTTCTTTAAAGTCGTAGGACAGTCACATCTGGACGGCACCTATGAGGATCAAGAGATTGTCACTAATCCCCCGGACATCTGCCAAGTTGTGGAGGTGACCACCGAGAGCGATGAGCAGCCAGTCAGCATGAGTGAGCTCTACCCGCTGCAGATCTCCCCCGTGTCTTCCTACGCAGGTAAGGGGATGGGTGGGTCAGAAACTGCCACTGAACGGGGAACAAGGCGGGGAGGTCCTTTAGTCTAAGGTCATCCACTTCACCATCACAGCAGAGAGCCACTCCTCCATCCTGAGGATTACTCTGGCTGGAATTATTCTGGCTTTAATGTTCTCAACCAACGTCTTCTTAGACACTTTTATTCTCAGGTCCAAGTCTTGGTCACAACATTTCTCTTGATCACCCATAACATGTTCACACATGACTAATGGATAAGAAGATTTCTTTGGGTAGGGGGGGAGTGTGTTCAATTTTATAGATGTTACAGCAAGATGTTACAGAAAAACCAGGACGAAAGTTTGGCCAGTGTAATAGTTCATCTGCGTCTGTTTTATTTGCACACGTTATCAGAAATTTAAGGGTGTTTTTCATGGAATCTGAGTTTGTCCCACCTGGATAGGACTTTAGGGATCACCTCTTCCAGCGCCTTCATCGGAAGTGGAGGAATCTCTCCAGGCCAGAAGTGTTTGGCTCAGAACTTGAGATGAACCTGCAGACCCCACGTTCCATTCTGTCGTTCCGCCAAGTTTCCTTGTCATCTCCACATAGGTTCCGCTTCTTTTTTCAATTTAGCAAAGCTTCTCATTGGGCATTTTTAACTCTCCAGGGAATGTCCCCAGACTGGAAGAAACTGGCCACGATGTCACAGGGTTAGGACCAGATTCAGCAGGCTCTCCCATCCTTAGAAGATAAAGAGGTGGCTCCCTTCCCCCACCAGCATTACGCCATACCCTCCTTCTGATGCTCTCCTCTTGACTTTTTTGGTACTCAGTTATGGTTACGAAATGTAAGGTCTGAGTTAGGGTTATTCCTTGCAGATACCACCGGTAAAGAGAGGACGGCCTCTGACGGTAACCACGGTTGCTCGGGTCAGGAATTCTTCCCAGTGCTCTTCATGTGCTGCCAAGTAGCATGTCCTTCAGTCCGGGCACCACCCCAGTGACTGGCACATTGTCGGCTTCAGAATTGGGTGCATTCATGTGACACATTGTTTGTACATTAGCAGCCCCTAAATTAACTTTCTGTTTCCTGAACCCCAATTTGCTTTCATGTCACCTTAATTTTTTTCAATTGTGGTAAAATATCCGTAGTACAACATTTACCACTTCAGCCTTTTTTGGGGGGGTGGGGGGCGTGCTGTGTGCCTTGGGCGTGCTGTGAGATCTTGGTTCTTGGAGCAGGGATGGAACCCATGCCCCTGCTGTGGAAGCTCAGTCTTAACCACTGGACCATCAGGGAGGTCCCCCCACTTCAGCCCTTTTTAAGTGCACATTGCAGCGGCATTCAGCACCTTAACAGTGTTGTGCAAGGAGCACCCCGTTCATCTCTAGAACCCTTTCACCTTAGGAAACTGAAACTCGGTGCCCGATATACAGTAACTCCCCATGCCCCTCCCTCCAGCCCCTTGGAAGTCCCCCTTTTACTTTCTGTCTGTCTGCATTTGGCTACTCTATGTGCCTCCTATAAGTGCAATCATACAGTATTGGGTCATTGGTGACTGGTTTATTTCACTTCACAGAATGTCCTCAAGGTCCTGACTTTCTTTTGTGCCGCAAACATAAAAGGAAAGTGAGAAGCAACCTTGGCTACAAGAAGCCTATAATCTGCCAAACAGGCTAAGCTTGTCATCAGTTATTTATTCATGAAACATAGTTTGAACTCCTGTGTGTACCAGTCCCTGTAATAGGAACTATAACGATACTGTTTGTTGCGTGTTCATTGTGCCCTGGAAACTATGCGAAGTGCTTGATGTTGACTGGCTTATTTAATTGTCAGGAGAATAACCCTGGGTACTGTCATTATTCTGTCTTTAAAAATTAAGTATCTAAGGCTGCTGGGGTGAAGCAATGTGTCCAGAGATGGACAACCTGTAGCACAGTGGGACCCACGCGTGGCTGATGCTGTTCTTGGCCCTTGCACTGCGACGCTGCCCTGCAGGAACTCGTGGGGCTCGGCCATTCAGAGCAGTCCACATTCCAGGATCTCAAGGGCCAACCAAAGGAGGCAGAGCCAAATGTTTATGCCCTGATTTTACAGTGGAGATAACTGAAACCTGAAACAGTCAGCCACTTGGCTTTTGTTTCCCTGACCATGGCTGAAAATGTGTGACTTTTCTCTGTATCATGCACTGTAGGCATTATTACATCCTTTTTTTTTTTAAAAAAAAAAAGGGGTTAGCGCTTTAGAATCGACTTTTCTATTTATCTGTTGAGGAAGAGTTTTCTGAAATGTTCTTGGGGGTTCTGGAAGGGCCTCTTCTTGCTGTTCTGCCAGCAGTAGCATTTTGCCTTCACAGAAGAATCCCAAGAACAGCTGATTCATGCAGAGAGAAATGAAAATGTCATTACCCTTTTCAGGACATTTGCAAGATTTGAAAAGAAGGGTTTTAATGCCAGGCTGGCAGGCAGCGGGGGTTTGCTTGGAGCCTGGTGTTTCAGCCTGGCCTTTATTTCTTTCCATTGTTTTCATTGTCTGAATTTTCCAGAACCCTTTGCGGGGAAGCTTATTGGATAGAGCCAAGATAAGTCATCACTACTACTTTTCTAGAACCCACGACACACCAGAAACTTATCTGTTACTGACCATGGGTAGCTAAAATCTTTCAGTCAGGAATTCCATAGCTTGCTGCTAGGAAAGACAGCTTCTTGGTTGTATTCCTTTTTAAACTTGATGGTCTCCACAAAAAAATAGGCTGTTTGCCTGTTTTCCATGACAGGGTCCCTTTGTTTGGACTATTCAAGTGAATTTCAGCCTCCTCTAACCACTTTCATTCATTTAGGAAACTGGTATTTGGAGGCAGTTGTTTGCTATTTTTCCCCTCTCTACTGATCATTGAAATAGAATCCCAGTAGTATTACAAAAATCACATTCACTGTTGCAAGTCGGTCTTCTCCGTGGTCTAAATATGATGTTGAGCGAGAAAAGGGACAGTTTCTTTGAGTGGAGGGACATACTTGCACTGTGGGCGTCCCTAGTGGCTGAGCGGTAAATAATCTGCCTGCAGTGCAGAAGACGTGGGTTGGGAAGAGCTCCTGGAAAAGGAAATGGCAACCCATTTCAGTATTCTTGCCTGGGAAATCCCATGGACAGAGGAACCTGGTAGACTGCAGTCCATGGGGTCGCAAAAGAGCTGCGCATGACTTAACTACTGAGCACACACACTTGCATTATGTTGTTTGAAGACAGCATGCAATTCTAGTTGGATTCATGAAACTTCATTCTGGGGAGGGATGTCCCAAAGCCCAACCTTGGGAAACTCTAGAGAAGAGTCCTTTTTATTTTTAAATATCCCGGTGTGTGAACAGGGATCATTTATTATGTTGTTGGTGGTTTAGTAAGAAAAATCACAGTAGTATTGGGGGGGAAGGCTGGATGAGAGGATGGAGAAGACAGAAGACAGAGGGTTGATTTGTGATAATTGAGAGAAAGGAGATCAGCCACCAGCAGAAAAGACTTTGGGTCCTTCCAGAAACCAGAGAAGGCGTGTGTTTTGTTGAGTGCAGCAAAAATAAAAGTGCTTTAAGAGGACTCTGGTTTGAAGGACTTCCCTGGTGGTCCAGTGGTTAAGAATCTGCCTTCCAATGCATGGGATGCAGGTTTGGTCCCTGGTCGGGGAACTAAGATTCCACATGCTATGGAGCAACTAAGCCTGTGTGCTGCAACTGGAGAGAAGCCCGCATCCCATAACAAAGGACCCCACACCACAGCTAAGACCTGACGCAGCCAAATACAGAAATTTTTTTTTTTTTTTAAAGAGGGGTCTGATTTGAACCTTTTCATTGAGACTTGTAGTGAAAGTCATTGAGGAAGTGATCGAGGGAAAAAAATCCTTGTCAATCTTACTACTAAAACTTGTTGAACAAGTCTTCCAGAAAATGTACCAAGATGTCATTGTGCAAAAGGGCTGTGACCGAAGACGTGTTGTCTCCTTCCAGATTATATTCCTAAGATGGTCTGACAATAAAAACTGGGCTAAGGGGACTCCCCTGGTGGTCCAGTGGTTAAGACTCCATGCTTCCACTGCAAGGAGCATAGGTTTGATCCCTGGTCAGCAGACTAAGATCCTGCATACCAGGTCACATAGCAAAAAAAAGAAAGAAAGAAACTGGGCTACGTGGAGAGTAAGCCTAGACTAGGATCACTGTAAAACTGCAGGTCCTGAAGGAAGCACCCAAACCTCCCCCTTCCCTCTCACCCCGGTTGCTTCTGGGAAAACGGAGATCAGAAAGATCAATCAAACTGCTTAGGTACCTGCTATTATATCTGTAAACACTGCAACTTACTCAGACCGTGCTTAGGAGGCAACTCCCAATTTTTTTTTTATTCCATTTTACTCAAAGCAAATAAAAAACCAAACTGAAATTAATGAAAAGGAAAACTAAAACAACTCATATTGATGTGTCAGCAGCAACATTGATCTGGAAGCGGCAGCTGCCGTGAACTTGTTAGTTCTGTGAAAATACCAGTGGTGAAGTAAAACCCAAGAAAACAGAGGAAGATAGGTATGTATGGCCCCCAACAAAGCACTTTGAGCCAGTGACCCAGGAGTCACTGGAAGTACCGCTGTTCTAGAGAGAAGGGTTTGAGATCCTCAGGCTGGGGCTTCAAGCATCTTTTGCTCCTAAGCTGAAGGCACGCAAGGCCGTTCTTTTAAGTACTAAAAGCTAGAATAATCAGGGACTTCCCTGATGGTCCAGTGGTTAAGACTGCACACTTCCAATGCAAGGGGCAGGGGTTTGATCCTTTGTCCAGGAACTGGGATCCCTCATGCCATGCAGAGCATACAAGAAAATACTTGAAAAAAAAAATTAGAAATCTCAGTTTGCTAATGTGGAGATTCTTCAAAACTGCTTCAGAGGGAATTGACCTTCCTTTAGATGTGATGCTTTTCCGCTAACACTTGGGTCAGCTGAAAACAGAAGTTCTGAGCATTTGTGTCTCCTCTTGGCTCCAGCAGTTTCCCTGAAGTTGTACTTACAGGTGGATAACATTCTGATCCCGTTCATGGTCATGCCAGGCCCCACCACCGAGTCTTCCCAGAGACTGCATCCCAACCCCTCCTGCCTTGGTGATTCAATCCCCTGCTGGCTTTTGCCCATTTCCAACAAGCCTGGTGGTATCCTATGTTTATTTGAAGGGGAGAGGAACAGAAGATGAAGTATTTCTGGAGGGTGATTAGGAGGAATTGGAAGGGCTGGACCTACAGGAAAGGAAGAGAAACCTCGACTTTGGAGCCCTAAGAAGCTAACGCTCAAAACGGAAAGGGGATCTTGAAGTTTCATGGGAGGTCGGAGCTGCAGGAGAGCCTCAGTGCCCGGGGCCCGGGGATCAGAAGGCTGGTCTGTCTTCCCTCCCTGCGCTGACTCAGACCACCACACTTGAGCTGATTTCTCAACATCTCTGTTCCGCTTTTTTCCTTGGGAGTGGCAGTCACTGATTTCTGTCTCCTCTTCGGAGTCCTGGGCTAGCTGGAGGATTAAGCCAGGAGGGGCCTTTCCCTTGCCGTTGTCTTTACAATAATGTGCTTTTGTGGAGAAGGGTCTCTTGTGCCTGGCGTTGCTGGTTTGCCCCGATAAAGAGGGTCAAGCCTTCCCAGGCGCCTGCTGCCCCTGCTGGACGGGCCAGTTTTCTGGCTGCAGATGGTCAATCCTCTGCAGTGGCCCACACCCGGGTGAAGTCCCCAAAGTATAGTGACCGAGAACGGTGCTCAGAGGCCCCAGGTTGGGCCCCGTGTCGTCACTTTCGGCTTCTTCGTTTGAAGAATGATTCTGTGCCTCAGTTTGTCCGTTTGTTCCCTAGCCTTTAGTTCATGGAGGGGGCTGGTCTAGGACTGGTGCTCTGTGTGGTTGGAAGGGCTCTGTGTGGGCTGGGGGGGCTACCTGGTCACAGCATGCCACCAGCAAGGTTGGAGGCTGGAGGCCAGGGCCTCTGTAGGTTTGGAGTGGAAGGGCTGGAAGCCACAAGAGCACGCAAGATCTTCTGCCCAGTGAGGGTGGGGTGGGGTGACAGGACCTGCTTCCTGACTTAGGGTCCTTGAGAGATTGAATGAGACCTGCAGGCAAAGTGCAGGCCCACGGCTCACTAGCCCCATAAGCATTCACTGATATGGCTTCCCTGCAGGCCTTGTCTGCAAAGTGAGTGACCCCGAGGGTGACCTCTAAGGGTCCCTGTCTTTTGGAAGTTCTCCCTTCTGTGCGTTCATTTCTCGATGCTGTGAACCCTGAAAAACTGCACGCCATCAATTTTGCATTTGAACACTTACAATTTTTTTTACTTAAAAAAAATCAAAAGTAGTTTGCTTAAAAAAATTTTTTTTAAAAAATATTTTTACTTAAAAGAAATCTTGGGGCTTCCCTGGTGACTCAGTGGTGAAGAATATACTAATACCTACCGATGCAGGAAACTCAGGTTTGAACCCTGGTCCAGGTAGATCCCACATGCCGCAGAGCGACTAAGCCTGTGCATCACAGCTACCCAGCCTGTGGTCTAGAGCCCAGGAATGGCAGCTACTGAAGTCTGGAGCATACCTGGAGCACATTCTCTGCAACGAGAGAAGCCCACTCACCTCAACTGTGGAGTAGCCGCTGCAACTAGAGAAAAGTCCGCACAGCAATGAAGACCCAGCCCAGCCAAAAATAAATAAATAAAAAAATTTTTTTTAAAAGAACACTGGTAAATTACTGAGAAAAAAAAAATCTTGTATTCTGTGCACGAGTGATGTCACCCCTAGCTGTTGCCTGATTCTGTTCCCCTAGTATGTGGTACAGATCCAGTGTTGCAGGAGGCTAGTGAGCTCAGGACAAAGGCACTCCAGTATTCACTGGATGTGGGCTGTGTGCCAGGCCCCGGGCTGAGCATGGCATCCTCTTTGGAAAGTGCTTCTATTCCCATTTTACAGATAGGGAAAACTGTGCCTCCGTGAAGTCAAGTCACTTGCTCTGTCTCTCAGAGCCGGCAGGCTGAATCAGGGTGGTGACTGAGTTGATTGTCTCTTGCCGCCTATAACTACAAACTTAGTGCCTGAACACAACACACTTTATCATCCCACAGTTGCTGAGGGTCAGGAGAGCAGGCGTGACTTGGCTTGGGTCTTCGGCTCGGGGCATTCTCTGCAGAGACCCGCAGTCTAGTTCTGGGCCAGGGCTGCTGTCGCATCTGAGGATGGGATCTGGGAGGGTCTGCTTCCAGGCCCACACAGTGTGGGGCAGAATGTAGTTCCTGGCAAATTGTCATCCTGAGGGCCTCAGCTTCTTGCTGGCTGTTGGCTGGAAGCAGCCCCTTGGTTGTCTGTCTGGGTGCCTCCCTGCCGTGGTGGCCTGTCCCCTCAAGGCCAGCCAGGGAGGTCGTCGCCTCGTTAGACGGGGTTTCAGACTTATGTAATGTGATCGCATACAGCCCATCGCCTCTGCCATGTTCTGTAGGTTTCAGAGCAAGTCACGGGCCCCGCCTGCCCTCTGGAGGAGGGAACCCCACGAGGAGGTAAACACAGCAGTTTACTGAGGCTCACAGGACCCCCCACCCCCACCCACCCCCAGAATCTGTGCATCCACAGCAAGCCAGGGGGAAGATAAACTCCTTTATCCATCCAGGATATCAGCACTGAGGGGCTGGGAGGAGACTGGGCTGGAAGGGAGGGACCTGGGGAGACCGGGCTGGGATTTAAATGAACCAGCTGCCATCCAGTGGGGCCTGGATGGAGCAGCCTCAAGGAAAGGGCCTGACGCAGAGGCGGGAGCTGGCAGTGGACCAGGGGGGCAGACGGGCATCCGGGGGTCCAGCACCGCACCCCGGGAAGCAGAGACCATGAATAAACATAGCCTGGCCCTGGGAAAATGAGCCACCCCTCCACCCTCAACCTTTTCTGCGACGGGGCAGAACTAGAGAAATCCAGTTCTGCTCCGGCACCTCCCAGGTGCACGCGTTTGACCTGAGCACAGGTGACGGAGGTTATGAGTTTAGTGACCCACTTCTCTTTGGAAGAAAAAGTTGCTGATATATATATAATTTTTTAAAACACTGCCTGAGCCTCCATATGGTTTGAGCGGCAGGAATGATGGGCCTGTGTTTTTCTCTCTGTGAACAGAAAGCGAAACTACCGATAGCGTGCCCAGTGACGAAGAGAGCTCGGAGGTAAGCATGGCCTGGCGGGGCGGCTGTCGCCAGCAGGCGCTGGGACAGAGCCTTCCCAACCAGCACGGTGGTTTCCTCATAGCTAGTGAAGGTTCTTTTCTTTTGATCATGAGTTTCATTTGCGGCTTTTTTTTTTGGTGGCGGTGGTGGTGGTGGTGGAGAAATATACACAACGTAAAATTGACAGTGCTTTTGGATTTCAACTTACAAAATGAGGCTTTGGGAACTGAAGGGGAGGGCTCAGTAAGAAAGGAGGCTGTGACGGCAGGAAAAAGCCAGGAAACGCTGATGTTTTTAGCGCAATAAACATCCGACTCCGCGAGCAGAAACAGAAGGTCCAGGAGGCCCCGGGCAGTGATGAGAGATCAGTGTCAGGAAGCGCTTTAAGCAGGAGCAGCTCTCCAGGTCCCTAAAGTCCCTGCCACCCGCGATCCTTGCCCACTGGCCAAGTGCATGTTCAGTCGGATTCTGAGTCCCTCTCCTGTTCTTCTTCGTCTGGCTGGGTTCTGACAACGGCAGGCAAGGCCCTGACGGTGAGCGAAAGCATTCCTCTGAAGCCTGCCTTGTGTCTGCGTTGGAGTCAGTTACAGACAGACTGCCTAGCGGTTGTTTGAATTAGCGATTTCCCAGGGTGCGCACTGCTTCCAAGGATAGCCCAGGAATTCTGAAAAGACAGTAGGTGCAGATGCGCGCACACATTCAGACCCTGTTTCTTCAAGGTCAGAATTCTAGGTCCTTCCCTGAATGGCGCCCACACCTTGGAGCCAGCTGTTGGCAGCATGCTGGAGCTCTGAACTGCACCCATCTGAAAGCGATCCAGGGGCATTCCCTGTCTATTACTGAGCACCTCACTTGCCTCCCTCTGAAAAACGCAGCTGGACTCAGGGATCCGGTGGGACCATTATGAAGACCTGGTCGCCCTCTCGCACCAGCCATCCTGGCCCAGAGCTTCCTAACAATCAGGCCAGGCAGCCGGCGTTAGAGGGGAACCAGAAACCAAGCTGCTGCCTCGTTTTCCTGCCTTCATAGAATAGTCTCGGCTAGATTTCTGGGAGGTGGGCGATGGGCATTGATGATAAAAAAAAAAAAGGGAGGGGAAGAGAAACCGTGTTTTGGGGGCATGTGTGGCTGGGGATAGCTCTCAGTTCAAGGATGTGGAGTCAGTCAGCTTCTCGTTTATTCCACGCCTCTTAAGTTCAGACACTTAACCCGTGGGGAGAAGGATTCGTGTTTTAAAAAGCCATTGGAGAAAGGGCAGAGGAAATACCTGTCATCGTTCTTTTCTTTGCAAGGGTCGGCCACACTGGCGGAAGAGGAACATTGAAGGCAAACAGTACCTCAGCAACATGGGGCCACGGAACACGTACCTGCTGCCCAGCATGGCCACCTTCGTCACGTCCAACAAGCCCGACCTCCAGGTCACCATCAAAGAGGAGAGCTGCCCCGTGCCTTACAACAGCTCCTGGCCCCCGTTCCCAGACCTCCCCCTCGCCCCCTCCATGAGCCCCACGCCCAGCAGCAGCCGCCCGGACCGGGAGACCCGGGCCAGCGTCATCAAGAAGACGTCAGACATCACCCAGGCCCGAGTCAAGAGCTATTAATAAGCCTGCGACTTCCCCTGGAGGTTGTCGGGGTTTCTTGGCTCTGTCTTTATCGTTTGTTTGTATTTTATTTTTCTCTCTGACACCTGTTTTAGACGAATCTTAAGGGAAAAAGCCTTGACAAAATAGAACATTGATTGCTGTGTCCAACTCCAGTACTGGAGCTTCTTTTTAACTCAGGACTCCAGCTTCGTGGTAGACGCGTTATCTCTAGAGCCTGCTGGATCTCCCAGGGCTGCTCCCTCAAGTTCAAGGACGTCATAGGACCAACCCCCATACGGGCAGTGAGGTGCTGCGTTGCCCGTGGTCAAGGCCAGCATGGTGGAATGGATGCCTCCACATGGAGGAGAAAATGTGAACTAGCTGGAATTTTTTATTCTTGTGAATATGTACATAGGGCAGTACTAGCGACGTTGCAGTCTGCTTCTGCACCTTATCTTAAAAGCACTTACAGATAGACCTTCTTGTGATCCTGCTCTGTTTCACAGCACAGTCAGCACCCCCTTCCCTAGCCTTCTTCCCTCCTTCCCTCCCACCCCTGGCCCTTCATCCCTTCCCTTCCCATCTCTTTCCCTTCACCCCCTCCCCTCCCCCCTCTCCCATTCATTTTCTTTCCTCCTCTTCCTCCCCTCAAAGGCCATGTTCCACATCCCTGAGGAGGAGAAGAAGACAATGAACTTCTCCACCGATGTCCCATTTTAAAAGACTGCTTTAAAAAAAAAACAGCAAAAAAAAGAAAATCTTTCTAATCTGCTATGCTTGAATGCCACGCGGTACAAAGGAAAACTATCATGGAAAGATTATGCAAATTCTCAGATTTGAAGACAAAAATACTCTAATTCTAACCAGAGCAAGCTTTTTTATTTTTTATACAGGGGAATATTTTATTCAAGGTAAAATTCTAAAGAAAATATAATTGTTTTTTATCTTTTCTACAGCAAATTTATAATTTTAAGATTCCTTTTCTTGTTTATCGGCAGTTATTACATCCTTGTGGCACATTTTTTTTTTAATTTTGTAAAGGTGAAAAGCTTTTATGAGCTCATGTAGCAATCAAATTATCCTGTGGATTGATAATAAATGAATATGATATATAGTTAAATTTTTAATAGGCATCACGCCTGGCTTTGTCTGTGTGTATCTTAGAGGACAGTCATGGGACAGGACTGGCAGGGGTATCATTTCTTCTGGCGGACTGGAACTTTCCCCCTTTCCTTTTCCTTTGTGTAAATCATTCAGTCATGTCCAGCTCTTTGTGACTCTATGGAGTGTAACCCACCAGGCTTCTCTGTCCGTGAGATTCTCCAGGCAAGAATACTGGAGTGGGTTGCCGGGTGCGTCTCCAGGGGATCTTCCCAACCCAGGGATTGAACACAGGTATCCTGCATTGCAGGATCTGAGCCACCTGGGGAGCCCTGAGGATGGCAGATGCCTTCCTTTGCTGGGTGTTCGCCGGGAGCTGGATCCTGTGCTGAGTGTTGTCTTACATGACAATTTCACCTCTTCACTCATCAAGGTTGTGCACAGGATAGAGATTTATCTCCATGTCACAGGGAAGAACTAGAGACTGGAAAGGAAAATGCCTTTATGCAAAGCCTCACAGGTAGTAAGTGTCCGAGGCTGGTGTGATTATGGAGGGAGTCTTCTTCCCCCTTTCCACTGCTCTCTACTGTTAGCAAATTCCACACACATCTGCGTTTTTCTTGTTCTTAAACATATGATTAAAATTATGTATTTATGTCACATCCCAAGCTCACGGATAAGACATTTTTGGTAACAGGAAATATTTGTTGGATTCCTCCTGGCTCAGTCTTCTTTCTAAGACCTGGGGCCTCAGCCCAAGGCCCTGCCCTCAGAACTTGAGGCAGATCTTTTCGAGTGAGAAATGTGAATTCCAGAATCCCAGACTCCACCACCGACTCCGTGACCTCGGGGAAACCACCGGGCTCACCCCTCACGCTTCCATAGTGTCCGTAAAATCAACCTGTGGAGCCTCGGCCCCCTCCCTGTTACCTCTGGGGTTTGTGCAGGAGATTGCTGGGTTAATATTTGAAAAGGTTCCTTCAGTGAAAGGACAAAGGGCTAATTTTATGCCTCCCTGTGTGTGTGGCTGCAGATAGAATTAGTGGCCATAAAATTACCCAGCCCTGAACAAAAAATGAGCTGAAGCATGTTGCTGGTTGCTGTGCTGTGGCTGAAATGCCAGGCTGGACAGTTGGCTGCTCCCATGAGGAGCACCCAGGTGACAGTGGGTTTACCTCCCCTTCACGAAAAGCCTCTGCAATCTCGGCGAGAGGAGAAGCCACAGGGAGGAGGGGTGCCTATCCTCCCCGGCTCCGTGCCCTTCACTGAAGACCTCGCCTTCTCCCAGGTTCTGGACAAGCAGGTCCAGTTCTTTGCAACTTGTATCTAAATCCTTCTACTCAGCCACCCTGCTTTAGAATCAATTAAAAACCAGTAGCAGAAGGCGGTTCTCGATCACGTGGCCTGGAGATGAAAGGGCAAAGGGGAGATCCTCTTGACCCCTTTCTCTCTTCCAAACACAGAGGGACCCCCCCCCCAACTCTCTTCCAGGCCTCTCGGCAGCTCTGCAGGGCCCAGAGGCCGCTCTGTGCGCTTCTGTCCACACGGTTGTGACCAGACAGGCAGCATCTCAGCAGGTGAGAGACGATGAGAACTGGAAATGCACCCGAGGGGCCTATAGATAACCATCCGTGGCCAAGAAGATGCAGGTTCGATGCCTGGGTCAGGAAGATCCCCTGGAGGAGGGCATGGAAACCCACTCCAGCATTCTTGCCTGGAGAATCCCATGGGCAGAGGCGCCTGGCGGGCTACCGTCCATGGGTCACAGAGTCGGAGATGGCTGAGCACGCACACAGAGCATAGCCAAGAAGGCAGGAGAAGCAGAATGATGTTTAAATTATTTCTGAGAGGGCATGTTCCGTCATGCTTCTGAGTGTCACTTGCCAGGAGTGTAGGGAAAGAGCCCCATGCCTGGGGTTGGCCTGAGGAAGAAAAACAAGTGAAACGGGGCATCTCAGGGACTCAGCCTCAGACCTCATTGTCCGTTACAGGAAGTGCTGGGGACACGTGCTGCTTTTGGCTGGCGTCTGTGTGAGCTGATATGCTTTTGTGATGGGCTTGGGTGTGTGTGTGTGTGGATACGCTTTTATGGTGGGCTTGGAGGAGGGGGTGTTGATATGCTTTTATGATGGGCTTGCTCTGTATGTGTGTGTGTGTGTTGACATGCTTTTATGATGGGCTTGGTGTGTGTGTGTGTGTTGATATGCTTTTGTGATGGGCTTGGGTGTGTGTGTGTGGATACGCTTTTATGGTGGGCTTGGGTGTGTGTGTGTGTGTGTGTGTGTCAATATCCTTTTATGATGGGCTTGCTCTTTATGTGTGTGTGTGTGTGTGGATATGCTTTTATGATGGGCTTGGTGTGTGTGTGTGTGTATATGCTTTTATAATGGGCTTGGTGTATGTGTGTGTGGATATGCTTTTGTGATGGGCTTGGGTGTGTGTGTGTGGATACGCTTTTATGGTGGGCTTGGGGGTGTGTGTGTGTGTGTGTGTCAATATCCTTTTATGATGGGCTTGCTCTTTATGTGTGTGTGTGTGTGTGTGTGGATATGCTTTTATGATGGGCTTGGTGTGTGTGTGTGTGTGTGGATATGCTTTTATAATGGGCTTGGTGTGTGTGTGTGTGTATATGCTTTTATAATGGGCTTGGTGTATGTGTGTGTGGATATGCTTTTGTGATGGGCTTGCTCTGTGTGTGTGCTGACATGCTTTTATGATGGGCTTGGTGTGTGTGTGTGTGCACTGATACAATTTTATGATGGGCTTGGTGTGTGTGTGTGTTGATATGCTTTTGTAATGGGTTTGGGGGGGTGTGTGTGTGGATATGCTTTTATGATGGGCTTGGTGTGTGTGTGTGCACTGATACACTTTTATGATGGGCTTGGTGTGTGTGTGGATATGCTTTTGTGATGGGCTCGGGGTGTGTGTGTGTGCGTGTGTGTGTTATGCTTTTATGATGGGCTTGGTGTGTGTGTGTGTGTGTGTGTGTGTGTGGATATGCTTTTGTGATGGCCTTGGGGTGTGTGTGTGTGTGTGTATCCGTGTGTGTGTGTGTGTGTGTGTAACTGGCAGGTTCAGTGTCTTAGTCTCTGCCCCAGCACCTGGGTCATCCCCTTAATAACGAGGAGCCTGTTCAGCTGTGAACCATGCATCCAGTGGCAGGGACTTCAGCCCAGTCTGAAGGTTGAAAGAACCCAGCACATCCTGAACCGCAAAGGCTTCCAGAACACCGTTTGCAAGTTTCTAAATAAATCCATGCTCAGCCATAGCGTTTTTCCATGTTTTGATGGAAGTAACTGCCAAAGGAGGTGTTTAGTCTATTTAAATGTATTTATAGAGAAGAAATATACACAGAAAAGAAATAACATACAAATCTACTGGCCACCCAAACCCCAAAATAGTATCCGCTTTCCCCCCCCCCCAAATCTAAAGTATATTCAGCTATCAGGTAACCACTAGTGAGATCAAAATTTTAGGATTGAGGAAGATGAGTGATTGGGTTTCAGGAGTTTTCCAACTCATGCTTTTGGAAGTATTTTGCATGTGAATGAAAACGACGGTTAAGCCCCAAATGGCCTCCTACCCTACTGGAACATTAGACATTCCTTTTGCTCGAGGCTATTCTTTGAACGTTGAATTCATTAAGTTTTAAAAGCCCCCTGTTATTCTAGCTGTGGACAAACAGACCCAGATAAAAGGTGAACATAAGAACCCCCCGTGATTCTGCCAAATTTCCACTGAGGAAAGGGAAAGCACAATAGGGGGCTTGCAAGCAAGTGGCCCAGAGGGGTCCTGGCATGCAGTGTCATGTACCCAGTGTCTCAGGAGCAGCCTGGGTTTGCCAAGAGAATGGCGTTAGAAACTGGTTTTGACTCCATGGTGTTCAGCCACCTCTTGAAACACCACCCCGCTGGCGC